TTCTTCCTTCCTTCCTTCCTTCCTTCCTTCCTTCCTTCCTTCCTTCCTTCCTTTCCTCCTTCCTTCCCTCCTTTCCTCCTTCCTAGCTTCCTTCCCTCCCTCCCTCTTTGTTTCCTTCCCCAGCTCCTCTTGCATTTTTATCGTTTAATTTTTTTGATCCTGATTTAATTTTTTTTGATCCTGATTTAATTTTTTTAAAACCCCTATCCCCATTGACTGGTGGTTTGGCCACTCTCATGACAAATTGTGTCTGTTACACTGCGACTATGCCTGGAAGGGCTTCCTTAAGCCGCCCTTGGGACAAGACTCTGCCATGCCTGGGTAGAGTCTCGGCATCCGAAGGCCAGTTTTTTACTTTGGGAGTGGTGGGAGGAGTGCATGACCAAGGCATGGATTGCAACTCCGGAGCTCCACTGTGCAAAAAACGACAAACACAACACCAGCCACACCCGAATCCAAAAGTTCTGCAAAGTCAACGTTTGCATGTTTATGCACGCGAAACATTCCTCAACAGGCCCAGCTGCGAGAGAGAGGATCTTGAAAATTGGCCAGCCACTCTCCTTTGGTGGCGATGCAAGGCAGCGGCTTCGAGTTTGAGCTCAGCACCATGAAAGTCGTACGCAGAATGTCATGACAAGCTTGATCCGGTCTGTTAGGCAATTTCCTGGCCAGCAAATCGTTGTGATATAATATGCAATACACACTACTCGGAATATCGAAATCAACCGATTTGTAGGCAGAATGGAAGAACTGTTTCCCATTGCATGATTGGGTCCGGCCTGTTCAGCAGTGAGGTGTTCTTGGGAAGTGGCATGGCGCTACAGGTACAAGGCCACTTGCCCCGATCGCTATCCTGTGACTCTGCACACTATCGCAACGACGGCGATTGACGCAGAGAACAAACTGCTCCCAAAAGGACGAATGGACTTGTGCTAGCGGCTAGGATTTTCCACGGACATGCCATCACAAGTCGACACGAATAGGTCAGTCGACCTTCCATGAGCGTATCCCGGACACCTGCTTTTACAAACAAGTCGCCACGAGGTTCGTCCATCGCACTGCCTCGACCAAATAGCGTTTGAGTTTTGAACCGTTGTCTGTGTGTCTTGCATCCTGAAGGGCTGGGGCCGGATAGCGCTTCAATCGTTTTCAATCGAGCGAGAAGGCAGCGCTGCCTTCAGCAGGCGAAGGCGGCTGGTGATGATGCTCGGCCTCAAGGCACAGCTCCCTCATGTCTGTTTCCTTTCTGCTCGGTACTTGTAAATCCTATTCATCACTCTCTCGTTCGGTGTTGTCCTTTCTCTGCATCATCTTCTCAGTCTACCCTCTCCTCCTTGGAGTAGGCCGCCACAAACGAAGACGTCTGGCAGGAACCTTGCGGCCCTTTGCATTGCCAACTAGCCACATGGCTACTGCATGCAACCTGAAACCTAACCAAGAGATCGACCGGACCCCGAATCAGGATTCATCAGGTGGGTGCTGCTGTTAATGGCATCGAGAACAAACATATACGGATGACCTCTTCCTCATGGACTCTGGTAGCATCCGCCTGACCCCCAAGCTTGCCAAGCTCGGTAATCAGTATTCGGGCGCAGTCGCTGTGTCCTTCAAGTCCTGCTGCCGTGACTCCGCGGTGGGCGATGCCCCCCAACTACGAGAGCGTTGCAATCCAAAAACTGGCGGCAAACCTTTCCCCCCCTCTCACTCGCCCTTGCTTTCAGTTTTGCTTGCTTTGGGCTTGCGGCATGGACCCCTTCGCAAGCGAAGCTCGTTTATTTGTGCAGATATCTGCATTAGACAGCACGAGCTCTTTGTTCAAAATATCAGCCCGCCCCACTTTGCAAACTCATCCCGTCGACTCGAGAAGTGTTTATGCTTCTGCTGAGCCTCGGACAAATTCCAAACATCCTGCTCCGCAGTGTCCGAGAAGCACAAAGGAATCTCCTCACTTGCGAGCTGTCAGCCGTGCGGCCACACAAGGACAGATATACAGTATGCATCCATTTGTTCCTGTGCCGAGGAACTGGAGGTGCAATTTTCGTTCGTAGCTGACACATGCCGACCTGCCTCCAGAGTCTCGATCTCATGGATGGCATGCTTGCCTACACACCGCTTCAACAAAAGGCTGGCTTTGGCCATGTCTTGGAGCACGCCACTGGTCTGACGGAGCATTGATTGCGTTTCGAACTTTGGTGGTCTCGTTGTGGTGCCGAAGCCGGGCGACATGTTCATGTAGTGACGGGCCTGCCACTTTCACATCGTGGGGTACTACTATTTGCGACAGATCTACACCGCCCCTTCGACAAGCAATGAGCTTCTGCTGAAAAGTCCGTGCTGCACTTGTAGCTGCGCAGGAAAGCTGCCCTTGGCGTTGCCTGTAGGAGCGCCGTGCTTCCCGTCCTGTCACGTAGGCAAATACTGCTAGCGCTTCACACATTGACGTGAAGCTAGTCAGCTAGTCTGATGCCTGGCAGCTGGCAATGTGACAGTGTGCTGCTCTAGTCCGCATGTTCCGCATGTGAGCGTGCACTGATGTTGACCGAGTCGATCGACGACATCTGCAGCACTGTAGCTGCGCTCCGCTCATCCGACTCCTCACGCCTGACTGCGGGACCAAATACCTCCTAGTCAGCAGGGCACCACGGCCCGAAGCACCATCAGGAAGTCGTCTTCGCTTTGTCTGGACACTCTGCGGTCTGCGGCTTGATGTTCCCAGAAGGTTTGAGCTCGCATCATTTTCGAGCAAGCATCGTCCCGAGCTGCAGTCCTGAAACCACATTGCATGGCTCCGGCCGTCGGTGAAAAACCTGTAGCCGACGCTAGCCACAAGAGCCAGTGCACCGGTATGGCTATGACCAATGAAACAAGGAAACGATGGGACGGCGATTGATTGACAGCTGAGCGCAACGCAGCAGGAAAAGCTGAAGACTGACCTTGTCGCAGGGTATGTTTTTCCAACACCTCTAGCTAACCAACGACATGCCTCACCCCTTGTACTCGTGCAGACCCGAACATTATACCTCAGCTAGTTCTACCTGGAAGCATGTCGTCTGTAAGTATGGCCAAGTGGCTTGTCCAAGCAGGCAGCTGGGTGCCTGATGCAAGAAACTTCCGTGTCGCAGTCTCAATCCGGATAAGGCGAACAAACCACGGATCAACCGAGTCCTGTCTTGCCAATGGACCCATGAGCAACACCACCTTGCGCACCACCAGACAAACCCGAACACAAATACCTGCCCTGCCTTCTTGCTGTCGGTGAGATGTAGCGAGTAAAGATCGCGAAATCTTCGAACCCAATCCTTCCTCCTGGGCTACGAGAAGCCAAAAGGTCGTAGTTGTGGTTGGCAGGGTGACAGCAAGAGGTCGCATGCAAGGACGAGCAGCCCCATGTCCAAGAGCATGAAGTCCCCAAACTGGGCTTCGAAGGCGATCTTGTGCAGCTGCCTTACATGCTCACCACAAGCCGAGGCAAGCTCCCGGGAGCCTCTTGCCCATCGAGGCTCCAACCCATGCAAGCCATCACGAAAGCCTTCAACAAGACCTTCTCGCGCATACACCTGCGGCATGTCTGCTCCAGAATCCCAGCGGATCGGACACAGGTCTGGTGAAGTCAGTAGCTGCAAGGCGCCCGTCAGACTCAACCTGCGCATGTACGCTACAGGGCTACAGTAGCCGTAGCGGTAGCGTGTCTTAGATCTGCCACACTCTACGGCTCTACGAAAGCGAAATCTGCTGAGGACTCATCGAGGCAGCGGCCAGGGCCCTCCGCATTTGTTCGCGCAGGCTGAGCCAATCCACGCTGCCCATGTCCTTCGCAGCGATTGCTTGGAACTGGGGAGACGCCGCCAGCACGTCACCCAGCTACAGAGCAATGTGATGCTCCCCATGATCCAGACCACCCCCCACCAATAAGGGGCTGAACTCGTCAGTAGGTGCATGCTCCATCTGCACCTGGTGGCCGCCAAGGCTTCATGACAGTGGGCTTCATGCCATCCACACTCCAAACCACAAGTGCTCCTCCTCTCGGACTTTTTGGCAGGACCTTGCAGCTCGGCCAAAACGCGTGCAGGGCAACGAGGACAAATGGGCAAACAAAGAAAACAAACGAAACAAGACAGAGAAGATCAGAGAAGTGAGAGAGACAGATAGGTACAAAGCGGAGAGGAGTATGTGTTGAGCATGTTGAGCTGCTCTCGTGTGTCGGCGGATCTTTGATGGTTGTGATGATTGAAGCCCATGCAGGCGTCATCTGCAACAATCAGGCATCGGTGCCTATTTGCAAGCAGATGTGGGACCAGGCCTCTCTGCAGGTCATGCAACTGCACGCTAAACAGCTGAGAAGGGTCCAAACTACCGGCATGTTGTCAGTGATTGACTGCGACGGTGCTTCACCTCTAAGAGCTCGTGGCCTACAAGCCAATGCCTGTCGAGGAGCAGTAGCCTGCGAAAGTCTGCTATGCACGCAGGATTCTCCTGACCAGAAAGACAACGCGAAGCTTGTAGAACTTGCTTCCCCAAGTTGCCAAGTCAACGAAAAGGTGCTGCAATTGCTGTCACTGTCGTTTGCTGCTTTTTACGTATGTTACTGTAATTCGGCGGTCCCACCTGTCCGCATCGCCACGTGCCCTGCGCCACGACAGCGTGTGCATTGAAACCCTGAGATGTGTTCCCTGTCAGCGAACTTCTTCTAAGTGTTAGCATGTATAAAGGCGTCTGCTGACATGATGGGGCCCAACATTCGGAGCTCAGAGCTTATACGGCTCGCAGACACACATGGACCATGCGACGTCTTAAGATGTCCGAAAGTACTGTAAAGCTGGTGAAGGATGCAACTCCCAGCCGGTGTCATGAAAGTCGGCGCCCTCAATCTCAAAACTCCTTAGACGTTCAGGAAACGCCTTGATCAGAACGACCTGCTTCAACGCATTCAGCCATCCAAAAAACAGGGCCTCCTCGAGTTTGATTTCTTCTCCGGCTCGGCCTCTCAAGTCTTGTCATTCTGGACTGTGAAGCTTTCGAGATGCAAGGTTCGTGTCCCTGGAACCATTCAGGCCAATGACTCTGATGAACACCGGGGCACTGTATTTTGGCGACAAGCATGGGACTTTGCACGGTTCAGCCGTCATTTGTTCAAGCGCGTGTGTTTGTCTGTGTGTGTGTGTGTAGTTGTTTCTGTTTGTCCGTGGGTTGGCTCTAGCTAGGTTCACTTTCAGCTACTACTCCCGGAATCTCCCGGACACTGCTGTTCAACCGCTACGGAGCTAGCCAGGGGCGGGGACTTCCCCAAAACGCAAAAGGCTTCTACTGCTCGACTCTTTTGCATCTTGCCGCTTGCCTTTCTGCCCTCATCTGTGTGGATCCTCCAAGCCCGAGACCCACAAGACAAAGCCGAGAAGGCTTCAGCAGTGACAGTTGGGTGCGTGCTGTGGAAAATGCCTGTTGTGACCTCTTTAGCGGCTTTCGCAGAGCCCACGCAGCACCTCGGGAGCACGGACTGTCACATCCTCGCTTCATTCTATCTCTCTTCAACCGAAAGCCACGAAAAACAGCCGAACCAGCAAAAGTGATCCGCATGTCTCATCTGAGGCCAGCTCTTTTCGCAAGGAGACTGCAGGAAACTTAGCTGACGCAAAATGCCATGGCGATACAAACAGGCCCCGAAACACGTGTACGCAGAGATGTATTGCGCAATGTATTTTGCGTATGCACATAATTTGCATAAGCATCTGCGATAGCCACTCAAGGTCCAGGTGCCGGTGCATAAGCGTACATTCAGAAGAGTGGCCATGACCCTGTCACTGTCAGCTGCTCTCGGTTTGGTGCTACTGACACTCAAGCAGTCCCCTAAGCCCTGCGTTAGAGTTCTCAAGCTGTGGCACACCATGGACCTAATTCAGTTCATGTCGCTGTCGAGCTGCTGGAGTGTCAAGGCAGGCTGCAAGTGGTCCTGGTATTGGCAGTACCTCGGAATTATCGGTTTCGGGCTGCGGGGGTTTTGTGTTGAATGCGCTGTTGGAGTCGGAGTCACAAGTCTTCGTCAGAATTCCTGCAGCCTGCTATTAAATTTAAACCGTTTAAACCCTGCCTACATGTAGCTATCGGCATACAGCTGCTGATCGGGTCTGTTGCTCCCTTGCCCTGGCATCCTGGGCATATCCTTTCCCAACCCCCACTTTGTTATCTTTGTGGTTAGATCACCTTATCCTCGCCACGATCAGTACGGTTTACGGGTGCAGTAGTCACCACATCCTGCATGTGATAAAATACATCCATCTCAGTGGAGCTTATGTTTGCTCCCAATACTTGTCTCATGCGTTTCATTCGCCAAGTTCTGTTCGGGCACGACCCACGCTTCTTGTGACGCTTGGTGTTTTGCGGAACTTCATCTCTTCTGTCTTTGCGGTGGAATGTTGGCACTGGTATGCACTGGTTACAGGGAGCCGGTGTGTCGGAGCGGTGATGCTCGCGACAATTGTTCGTCCTTCACGGAGCGGTTGGAAAGCATCAATGAAGGGAATCGGGTTCGCAGGGGCCTCGATCCTCGCAACACTTGCCGTGCCCGGTGACTCTAACATCTGCGTCCTGTGTGGCACAACTTTTACTGTGACGGGGGAGCGGGCCTTTGTCGGCCGCATACCTGGAAGGGCATATGTGGGGATACCATGGGGTGGAGTAGCATCTCTTTCGCGAGTGGACCTGGATCGACAACCCGACACCTCCAACGACTTTCGTTGCTCCGAAAGCGAACACTGGGGTGCCCGACAGCTCCGGCCCGCGTAGCGTCGGCTCCTCACCTCTGAACTCTGGTACTGTTGGCCCGATGGCACTCTGAGGCCAGATACTTCGGTGGCCATGTCCGAGGGGCTACAGCCGGGAGCTTGACGTAAACTGCAGGGAATGTGCTAGCATGTGCAGGGCCATGACTTCAAACACATTATGACATTCACATGCCACACGTGGCAAAGTCCATGCTCGTAGAGTCAGAGCAGGTAGAGGTATCAATGGTGGCTGCTTCCGCTGAGATGAGCACTTCGCCAAAGCAGAGACCAGCCAGTGACCGGCCTCAGTCTTCGTGAATTCAGCAGGCAGAGTCCGAAGACGGGCTTTGGAATCAGGGCCATGTCTATCTCCTGCCCGACTGTCATTAGTCATTTCCGACTCCGAGAGGAGCACACATCACTGCGAGACCAGGTTGCCTGTCGTCCTTCAGACAAGTACGTGCTGCCATGCACTCTACACCCATAGCCGCAGACACAGCAAAGCAAGCGAACCAAGTGGAGTAAGTGCCTTCAAACCGGGCAAGCTCTGTCCACTTCCATTTTTGCTGCGCAATCTGCCGCCGCACCTTGCAGGTCACCCGTCGAGAAGTCAGTTCCGCTTGCCCAGACTTGCCTGCGAGTTGAAACCTGGCATGTAGCCTCTGGCAGTACATGTATGTCCCAGGCTCCCATGTCATCCTGAAACATTCATTAGTGCTGAGGTTTGTGCAGAAACCGTGGAGAGGTGCTGACATGAGATGTGGTAGAGTCTGGTATAGTTCACTGTAGAAATACGGTCGTCAAGCATCCGATTCCAGTGGCAACATAGGCACATGCTCTTTTCCAGTTGATTCTTTCCTGCTAATTGCTGGTAGGCAGAAATGCACTACCTGTACATCGTGAACCTGTATCGTGAGAGAGAAAGTGTGAAGGTCATGTCTTCGCCTGGATGCTTGGACATGCATTGCACCTTCTTCCACTTTCAAGGCTGTCCACTCGCATTCTTGTGGTCTCTGTGCGTTCCGCACAAGAGGCTGTGCAAATGGGAAGGAAGAAAAGATGGCCAAGGGGCCCAGTATCAACCTCGACTACATCATTTCCATGGAGAGGCATCGCCGTACCAATTCGCCACCGCCTCAAGGCTGGCATAGGCCTTGCATATCTGAAACAGGAGCGGGAATTCCTTGGCGATTTCGGCTGCTTGTCGGCCCTTAAAAAAATGCTAGTCAGTATAGGCTTGGGTTCACTGTCAGGCGATTTCTGAAGGCCATTTTATTGGAAACATCTTCTTATCGCTGCAAAGGCTTCTTTGACTGCGTCGGCCTCGATGTAACCCGTGGCGATGTTATCGGAAATGAGGCTGAAGAGCGCACTGTCGCCCCAAAGCGGGAGGTCCCCTGAGACAAAGGCCCCTTTGACCCCCGCCTTGGTTAAGACACCCTCGAACTGCTTCAGGCGGCCCAAGACGCCGGCCTTTTGCAGCACTATGACATGCAGCTCAGGGCTTACGTCAAGTTCTTCGACCAAGGAAACACTACATTTTTGCGAGGTTTCAGTCGCAAGTTGCTTCCTGGGGCAATTCGCCAACTGCTGTCCTTGTAAGTCTCCTTGGCGGCATCATTGCCTCCGAAGGTTGCAGCAGCCCAGTCGCCGCGCCACTCTGTATAGGCATCTGCGATCATGTCCTGAGATCTGCGATATGCACATCTGCACTTTCGACCGGGAGGCACACCTCGATCATGCACTTTGGAGGATACCTGTGAGGGCATCACTCTCATCTGTATCTGCCTGATTGTTTCGCTCCCTGCTGCAGAGATGGCCGTTTTTCGTGTTTCGCAGAATGTATCAACTCCCTTCTGTCGACGAGTCCTGCGTATAGAGGCTCCAGCAATCGGCGTCCTTCACATTCTTGAGCTGAACGAGCCCGGCGACCAGCCTGACCAAAAGACAAGCGCAAGCATGTGCAGGCGAAGTGCTGGCCAGCAAACCAAAACCGTATCAGTATACCAGTATACGTCACGCCCATCTCACCTGTGAGCCCTCCAACTGTCGGCTTCTACTTGCGCTGCTGCGGAACTCATGACCGGACTGTAGCAGCCATCAGTTGCACCTCTCGGCTAGAGGGGTGAAGTCATGTGCCTCCGATGAGATTACTTGTCGTGCTGTGGCTTACTGATTGTCCTGCATTCCTGGTCACGAAGCCTTGTAGACGCTTTGCATGTGACTCTGGCTACCTACGTCGGACCTGCGCTGCTCTATACTCACCTCGTGATCCCTTCCTGCCCAGCATCTCTCGAATCCTCGCGTGCTCGCCTCATCAAGCTGATGTGCTCTGAGCAGGCAGGACCATCACCGATCCAAAGCAGCGGAAGATGCCCTGCTGGGGAGATGCCCTCGGCCACGTACTTTGCTTTCATGCTGCCCCAGTCTGCCAGGGCATGCAGCTTCTCCGAGAAAACGATCTGGCGAGGCAAAATGGACATGATTTGGCTCCCCCCGCAGCTAGAGGACCTAGATGCTTGATCATGTTCAGATTTATTTACTCAGGCCTTGTTGGCCAAGAGGAAGAAACGCAAAGCCCCTCCACGACCCGAGATTGGAGCTGGCAACGCTAAGTACTCCAACCTCAAGCCTTTTTCGACCTCCTGCAGAAGACACGGTTGTGATGGGGCATGCTCTTTTCGTGGCGATGCAAATGAGACTGGAGACTCTTGGTGGACATCTTAATCTTTCTGGAGTTTGACGATTTTCCGTATTATGTTTCTGCACATAACGGGCATTGGCATTGGGCTCTTTGGGGATTTCGCGACATACAGAAGAAAAAAGGTGCTCGAAGACAGGGGTGTGGCGTTGCAAATTTGAAATCATGGGATCTCGGTGCAGCTCCGGTCCTTGGGTTCCTCCGCTGCAAAGGCTGCCACCGCCTTGTCCATGGCTCCAAGCCCTGTGCCACTGAGCTCTTCGAGGAATGAGGCTTGAGCCGCTCAAATCACGAGAAGAACAAGCTTCGCGATTCTGGGCTGACGCCTAACTATGATCATGGTGTTCTGGTCCCTCTAATCGCAGTGCCACGCCAGACAGAGTCGTGTGTTCGGAGAAGCAAAGCATCACCCGATACATGTCGCTGGAACTGCTGATTCTTGACAAAACATGTACGCAAAGCCCGAACCTGAAACCGTGACTCTCAAAGGAGCTGAAGCTTCTTGCATCTCGCTGGACTCCTAGAACCCAGAGTCAGTCGCTACGGATGTCAGCATTCACTGCCCAGGGGTGCCCTACACCCAAACCTTGCTCCCTAGCACAAAACCCAAAACACTTCAAGGATGAAGCCCTTTCTAAGATCCTACAGCGAAGAACAACCAAGCCCGAAACCCATCAACACGAGCCAATCTAAAAAGGCAGCCGTGGAAATGTTCCTGTTTAAACACAAGCCTCTCCTTCTGCCGATCAACAGAGTCTTTAATGGGTCAGGACACGGAGAAGGGTAACATCAAAAAGCTCTAAACTAGAAGCATCAAGGCACGTCTTCACGAAGGAGTCATTCACCAAGTCAGGACGCCGTAAACTTGTAGAACGAAAACAAATTCTATTGCCTGTGAACCTGGAGGCAACTACAGCCCTTGATGCAATCTGTAGAAGCAGCGGATCGTTCTGCCCAGCTGCCTCTGCTGTGGCCCGAGAGGGGCCAAGCGCCGTCAGCAAGGTGGCACACGACCACAGGTCCTGAAACATCATATAGCTATGAGCCGACTGCCGAAGCCTGCACGTGAGCACTGCAGCCATAAATGCGGAACAACACTTCATCCTCTATTGCATCTTTTTTGGTGCAGACAGAGTCCAAGAACCTGCTGCAGAACTTGCGGAAGACTCGATGTCTATAATCCTTATTTAGCTTCGGGCTTCTTCTGCGGCTTCAAGGGCTACAGGCCTTTTGCAGGGAGCCAATTCAAACATGGCCGTCTCTCGGGAGGAGGGGGAGGGGCGGGTGCGGAGCTTGCATGCGGACGCTCGATATCACAAACGGTAAGCACCCACACCACCCACATCAGACACACATGAAGTAACATATCAAACACATCACATCCAGGAAGGAAATCCTTAAGTCGACTAAAGTTCGATTTCGCAAGCACACATGTCCAGTGTCGGAACGGAGCAACAGACAACATCACGAAGCAGACACCTGATTTTGCCAGCACCCCCTCAACACACATGTCTGCGGCGTTGCTACACGTCAATACCCACTTCACAAGCACCAGCACAAGAAAGGTGACCGCGGCATCGCGACGCATCAAAACCTGCTTTCACCAAGTGGAGGCTTGATTTGAGTAATTACTGCCCATGCATGCAAAACATATCGAACATATCGGATGCTTGCTGCTACTTGCAGCACCACTGGCCCGAGATTCACGCAGATGTTTCTTGACATAGTAAGCTCGAGAAGCTGCAGGTCTCCATAGTGACGTACTGCCGCAGCTGTCCCCCGGACACACGGGCTCTTTCTCTTTCCCCACTGCAGCGGAGATCCCATTGAAAACAATGGCCATATTCTCAGGCGTCACATCTTTGGACACGTAGGAGACAAGTGTCGCTTCGCTGAAGCCCAACTCGCTCCCTCAGTCCACATGGTTTAAGCAACGGTTGTTGGCAGATCAGAAGATCGCATCAACTCATAAAGTTCCATAAACTGCTGGAAACAAACGGAGCAAGCAGAAATGCAGATTCTGACAAACAGAATGCCCTTGCAACCGGGAGGCTTAGCCACGCAACTCGGCCATAATCCAAGATCCGTTTGGCCATGATGCCTGCACGCCGCAGGCGCAGATCGGCCGCGCCAACTGCCCAGCCGGCAGCAGACAGAAATTCCGCAAAGTCCACAGGCTCAGCGAGCCTGGAGCGAATGGGGCGAATCTGCCAATGACGGATCCAGGCTATGCCATAGTTTCTTTGCATGCAATGTCTGATGATCTGTGCTGGTGGAGGCATGAATCTAGAAGGATGTTGCTCCGACGCATGCTGGAGATGAGCTGCTTTGTGCGCCTGCATGTTAGGCCGGTGCCGAAGAGCTAGCTCGACATTTAACATTACTCGTCAGATCGAGATGTGATTGAAGAATGCCGCCACGATACAACCAAAAGCAAACCAATTGCTTTCACTTAGGATGTGCTCCTACTGCACCACGGAACCGAATCGTGAAATGCTGATTGAGCACAGCATCTCCCAAGGCAGGTTGACCAGCAAAACTTGCACACTTTCTCATCCCGGGAATGAGTGCAGTAGAATGGCCCCAGACTGGCCAGGAAGGCTGGATTCACGTAGGTGTCCGGGTCCTCAAGTCAGCCGACCACCAAGTTTGGGATCTTATGTCTTACGATTCCGAAGTTCAGAACTGTCCCGTCAACGAGCGCGAGTGCGTGGAAAAGGCAGGGATACGAGCCGAGAGCAAGTCTCTGTAGGCCGTTGTCTAACGGCTTGCAGGCAAAAGTCGCAGCGATGATGGCAGCAAGTTGCGCAGCACAGGCCCACCTGAAAAAAGTTGTGTGGCTCAGGACAGCTCAGGGAGACGTCGGGACATCAACAGCACCTAAGAAATCCTCAAAGACGACGCCCGCCTTCTACGATTCTACATGCCTCGAGCCTCGAGAGGCTGCAAAGTTGCACCACGGAGTGAGCGTAGAGCAAGATCTGTGCCACTGCCACACAGGTGCCTCAACGCATCCAGGAGAAATAGACAGCACGCAGGGCGCCGCAAGTTACTGCAGCGAGATAGTTGGCTTCCTGGCGATAGATTGTTACCCTCTCCCCCTGCCGAAGCCGCGAGGTAAAGACTAGCCAACTCTCTGGCGATAGATACGCGGCAGTATGCTTGCCAGAAGGACACAGTAATGTCACTGCCTGACCACCTGACTGACTCGCTGGTGGCTGGCAGCTAGCTGTGGGCAGAGACGAGAGGGCACTGCTGACGGGCTCAGGACATGTGCTATGTCTTTGCTTGTTGTAGAGATTATGGTTCGTACCGCTTCTTGCCTCTGCTGTATCGAAGTGTCTATCCCGAAGAAAGCTTGACGGCTCATTGCATTGTGACACTGTTCTGCTGAAACTGCAGCTGCGCCTTTGGACGATTTGTTGTACAACAACTCAGCAGCTTCACCGATGACAGCAGTTCAACCGTCGACACGATAGATCCGACTCTGACTTGATGGATCTGAATCTGAATCAAAACAGGGCTCTTGGCACAAACCAGCAAGCCACCAGGAGGAGGAAAAGGCGGTGCCCTGCACGTCGCTGGAAGAGCAAACTATTCTTGCCGCTTGGTCTAAGGGTCTAACATCTGAACATGACTTTGCAGCTCCCCATGTGTCTCGTATAGTATAGGCTCCATGTCCTGCCTGAGCAGTTCTGCGAGGCTGTGCAATCGCCGCGAACGCTGAGCACTGCGCTCGCATCGAGCGAAAGTGTCGGAAAGCCGTGCTGCAGCATCTGGGACCTGCAGGGACGATGCTGTTCGGCAAGGAGACTGTCAACCTGCCTTGTGTTCGGGACTCCTGCGATCGTGCGTGCTCTCTACTTTATACTGCCCGGTCACTTAAATTAAACACCTGTTGACCATGGCCTCGGTCTGGAGCAATTACAATTACAATTTGACTAAGAGACGAGCAAACTACCGACATCCATGATCCTCATATCATGTGGTTGTGGCGAGGCTTCGATTGCTTCCCCGGCACAAGGACATGTACCATCTTTGGCACACCACCTTGTCCCAGAGCAGCGCTCCAAGATCGAAGTCAGCGATGTCCATGCGGAGCCGAAGCACCTTGCAAGCTTCAAGGAAGCTAACTGAAACTGACTTTCTGTTTCTTCAAGCTGCGGCTCCGTCCAAGTTCAGCGGCACGGCCGAGCACCGCCGGCCTCGTGACCTGCATCCCGACGCTGCTCTACTCGATGGCGGCGTGTGTCCCGGTCCACAAGCACACTTAAGGCCTCGAGCAGGGCTGGCTGCTATATCTCCTTTTTGACAAGTATCCTGGAGTGTCCTTGACCCCGAACACTGCCAAACTTCAAAAATTTGCATTCATTGCGGCAGTGCTACTACGAACGCTACAGTGCGTCTGCTACCTGCTGCTGACGAGGGGTGTTTGGGTCCTTCAGCAATACTTGTGATTACTATCGAACCTCTCACAATGATACAGCACTAGGTTTCTTGGCTTGTCTTCGTGCTGCATTTATGCACATGTGGAGCCTGCGGGTGAGCTCGGAGCAAGGAAAGCGAGAGAGCCCCACGCCCACAGCCGTACTCCACCATCACCGCTCGAGAAAGTCTGTCACCGCAGAGTTCCTAGGGTATGGACCGAGGACTGCCGTACAAACACTATAACACAATTAATAAAACAAAATTCAAGGTGCTGTGCGGTCCAGTGTCAGATGCTAACTGAGCCAAAGCCAGATTCTGAAGGCCATGCTTGTCCGCATGCCCAAGCTCACTTCCGGTGGCGTCACTCATCGACTGGTTCACGATATCTTCGACTTCGACGTGTGCTTCCCGCCCAAGAGCTTGGCAAACGGCCTTTGGAAACACCGCTTCGATTCTCTCGATCCAGGCATCTCGGCGATCTCGGCTCATCAAGCCGATGTTGGGTAAAGTATGAGGTTTGCTGGGCGGCCCACAGTTAACGCCTGCGCGATAGAATGGTAGAGAAGCCAGGAACTGGGCGTCCCTGAGGCTTGGGCAGGCTGTAGACAAATGCCTCTCCAAGTGGATGCGCTCCACGCTATGCGATGGATCCAGGGGGCACTGCACTCTGTCTCCATCATCTCCATCGGCCTCCAAATGGGTCTTACATCTCCGGCACCCTGGAGCGGCTCTCACAAAGCACCGCTTGCCCTTCTTCCTGTGAACGAAGTCACACTGCAAAGAGTCGCCTTTAGGAGCATAGCTTCGCAGTGCTGCACGGAGCTCGTCAACCATCTATACATGCTACCCCATGGAATAAAAGGTCATGCTGCTAGGGTGTTCTGCATGCAACCCCCTTTTGCTGATGCGGTACCACGTGCTTTCGCATGAATTGCACAGGCCTGCGTATGCTTTCTGTGTGGTTGATGTCCCACAGAAAATCCTGCCACGGCAGCTAAAAGCCTTCAAACCCACTTCGAAGTTGTTGTTGTTGCTGCAGCGGAGCACACCTGACATGTGGTTGGTTTCGAGCTATGGGTGCGAGGTGGCAGCACTTAGTGACTGGACTCGGTCCTTGAGCATCTGCCTTTTGGCAGGTGAGTCCGGGTACGGTGAAGTAACAGATAAAACCTGGGCACACCATTCTGTCACGTGCAAACTTTTGAGCTCCAAGAGCGAGACATGCAAAGTTGCAAAGAGACTGAGCTTGTCGCGATCAGTAGCGGTTCCCGCATGGCGCTTTTGCAGTCAAAAGGCAAAGGCGAGCCTGCCATGCGCTTGCTTCGACCGGGATGGCATTTTGGGCTGATGTATTCGTCTGCCAGTAACGATGGCAAGCATCCGGGTGAGCCCACATAAGTTCCGAGGTCAATGGTGTACAGATTACACGTATCAGCAATTCTCCAGCATTCCTGCAGATGAGCCTTTGCGGTCGCTTGTGGAAGATCGACTTTGGATCCTGGCGGGCGACTTTCGTGCCGACGGTCTTGGAGAAGTATGCTGTACCAGTGATTAGCTGACTCGTCGTGAACTCTATAATTGTATGATGACTAACATAACCCCTTGTAATTGTCTGGAGCCTAGCTTGACCTTGACACACAGGTGCTTTGTGCTGAGTGCTGCACCTCCATGGTCGCCGAGAACCTCGGGACCTCAGGCGGCTTACGAGGCCCCGAGACCTGCAGTCCTGCACCTTTGGGTAGGCACGAAATACTCCCCGGCAGCACGAGGAATACAGTACTCAGAGCAGCACCACTCGGCAATTCGCAGCACGGGCTTGGACGTTCGGCCCTTCGACCTGACAGAAGAGCAAGAGACAAGGTCGTGCTTCATTTCACAGAGAGGTTGAACGAGTTCCCGACGGATGGATCGGCACGTAGCGCACATAGCGGCCCCTGGTACACACTGGCAGCTGGACCCGGAGATGCTAGACTGCTAGACAAACGTGCATACATGCTCTCGCTGAGAGGGTCCGAGATGGCACCGTTTTGAAGACCCATCGCAAAATGCCACAAAGAAGGCAGTCAGAAGCCTGCAGCCTAAAGCGACGCCCAAAGGACTCGATCATTTTCATAGCGCTGAGCATCCAACAGCAACTTCGCACCCGCCAAGAAAGGACGAGGACAGCATGCAGCTTCCCAGTCGGAAACAGCAACAGCAGGTGGAATTAGCGCAGGGCAAGTCGGAACCAGAGGATACACTGTCAAGAAAACGGGTTCTGCAGCAAGTATATGGGACGAGCCCCGCCAAACGGCAAGTCCCAAAGTCCCTAATCCTAAAACCAGGAGGGGTGGTGGGAAACCCGCTGTGCATCTATCAGTGGGCGCTTTCGACTGCAAGCATTACTGACTACGTGGAACTCGAGCAAGCAGACTCTCCTCAACGATTTCGACATAACAGACCAGACCGTTATTCCCCCCAAACGGAACTCCCCGCCGAAGCGGTCTCTGGCTGGTGCATGTGTTGGTTGCTGTTTTGTTCTCGATGTGCGGGAAGCGTGCACCACTTATGAATCTGTCTATGGCACGCCTTAACAGCGAGATTCCTGACAACTTTGTCCGTGGCCCTGGCCGCTGAGAATCTGGCCAGGAAAGCTGGGCAACGCGCCAGCGCGTCGGCCCCAAATGGCCTGACATGCGACCAGATCGACCAGGCAGGCAGCGGCTGGTCTTTTAGCTAAGCACACCCACCTTCGATCTGTCATGTAAAGCATGGATGTGGTGTCGCCACGCGCAGCCTGCATCTTGCAAGCCGTTTGAGGCTCCCAAGGCCACGGATGCCACACCTGGCAACCCATCATAAACTAGCAAAGCAGTAATGCGGAAAGGTTTGCGTCGCTGACGGAAGTCTGGCAACTTGAAGGATCGATGGGCATCGCTGAGCATGATGCTGGATGCTTGCAACCTCAAAGGATACTTAAGCCGCGCACACTGCAAGAGACCTTGGACATCAGCGGGACCTTACATCACTGACAAATGGAAACTGCGTCAGGCCTCAATTGACCAAAGCCTGGTGAGATCTGCTGAGCATCCTTATTGCAGATTCTATTGACTTTTGCGTGCTCCTACAGTCTGCAGGACTTCATTTGTATGCGCCACTGTAATTGCCGGCAAATGAAGTTTAATGGAGTGAAGACAAGCATAACTGTTACCACATGAGTCATTACATGGAGGCACTACGCATCTCGTACGCACACTCTTTTGGATGCGCCGAGGCAGGAGGCAAGCCTGCTAGCAACCAAGCCAGAGCAGCATTTGCTGCTCTGTGGGATAACTCTCCTCCTGCACTGCGACATGGTCCCCGCATGTCTGCTGTTGGCACTGTGAACGTTTCTCTTGCTGTAGATGTGTTGAGACACGGCGCCGTGTCTGGCAGTCAGACGTTCATGGGCTCAGAGTTCTTGCCCGGCACACCCGGCTTCCCTGTGAAAAGGGCCGCCCCAAATTTCAGTGTGCCCAGGCCGCTGCCGACCAGGCCACCTGCCTCGTGCCAGGCATTGCACAATCACAAACCACTCTCAGATATTCTCAGATTATCTGATCTCACCTTTACTGGCGTCTTCTGCACTCTGCGCATGTGCTTCTCTTGCCTCCACATCTGCCCTGGAAAGCATCCTTAAATCCGCAAAAAGCGTAAGCCAGGAGCTCTGGCCTGCTGCATCAACGAGGATGCAGCCTTCGGCTCAGCCTTTCGCGCTGGGGGATCCAGGCGCAGCCTTGTCGGAGAAAAACCGTCTCGTTTCAGTACTTGTTGCTGAGAGCTGAAAGAATACCTCCGCTTGTGTGCTGTCACCAAACTGCTTCAAGGATTTCTGAGTCACGCCTATGTTCTGGCCCGACGTAACTTTCGAACAGTTTGTGGTACGCACCTACCCGCAGATCATGTCAAGTTTTGGCTGCCCACTAGTTACCCAAACTATGTATTTCCTCTGGGGGCAACCGATCGCCTGCAGTCGCTCCGTGACATTTTACCTCACATTACGATCTTCAACCTTGACGCCTCTGGCAATTCACACGTCTTGGACCCTGGATATTTGACCGGGGGGCTCGGGTATTGGATTGTGGAGCCGTGCAAGCCGCAACATCCGTGAGGTCGGGATTCGTTTCCACTTCCATTCAAGACACACCAGTAGTAGATTCAATGCAACTGTATACTGCAGTCATGGCAATGCATTCGCGTGCATCCATCCTCACTCCGTTTCAGATTCGCGCACACTAGCTTTGCCCCAGGGTGCCTTAACTCGCATTTCTTTCGACATCGTTCGTGAGTGACCGCAACGACATCCTGATTTACAGCTCGGGCTTCAATTAACGCTTCGGAGGCGTAGGACCGTTTAGGATTGGAGGAACTTGGAGGATAAAGGTGTGAGACGGCTTTGGTATCAGGCGTTCGCCCTTCCGATCCGCGTAGTGCACTTGTGCACGGAATGACATATGACGAGCAGTGCTTGCATGTGTGCAGTGTTCTTGCTCGAAGTTAAAGAATTTTCGCACCCTCCGACTCCGCCCAAATCGGTGGGGTGGCAGGTAGTCTCTTGCATCCGTCTTGTTTTGTCCGATGCGAAGAGAGACATACCTACCGACGCCTGCCGATTCTTTCCGCAAAAGTGTGCTTTAGTGTGCATAGCTCTGCGAGTATGTCACAACTCTGCAATCCCTCAGTGCCCAGGATGGCACTCCAAGCTGTTTCAGCGTCATGAATGATTCGTCAACATGGCTCTGGCAAACAACGAACCAGGGAAGAACACAAAACTCTCTTCGAATGTATCCCTGTTTCCCAAGGCCTCTCCAGATCGGATGTCGCGCTGACATTCCTCAGAGCGCGTCTCAACACCAACAGGATCTCCACATATCATGTGCGAAGGTGCCCTGCCATCCTAGGTCATATTGCCTCGTTTGTCTTATATGATGTTGAGCAAAGCGTCTGTACAGGCATATGGGCTCGGTCTCGTTAAAGATCAGTCAGCTCGGAAAGTTTTGACTCGGAAGATCAAGCAGTGTAGCTTCCAAAACGTTATCCCGAAGCAGAGTAACCAGAAACATATACAGATGTGGCTCGTTTGCACATGATCGAAGAGAAGCAAAGCAAAGTTGACATAAATCTGCTCAAAAAACTCAAATCAGTTGTTGCTTGCCGTCTAGAGGACCCAATGAGCCCGGACTTGCTGATGCGGCTTCCCCACACGGTCGGTGCCTGCTTGTTGTTTGCTAATGTTCGCTAGCTGAGAGAGAGCGCAGCCGCTGTGTGCCTGAAGCCTTCCCCCAGTCTTTCCTCATGTTTCGAAAGCTCCCTCCACAGTCCTTCACCCTGCCAACAGCACACTGCCGCGTCTGTGCAGGAGCTAGGAGTCCTGATTCCGGACATCTCCTGACTACCACATCTTGTGTTGTAACTTTCAATGCGAAGAAGCGGCATGGCCACTGGAAGCAGCGGAAAGCGTGGAAGAACAGGCCGCAGCGGGGCGGCGAATGTCGTCTGCAGCTCGAAGCCTTCGTTCTCGTTGCCTCAAAACCGCCATGATCTCAAGGACAACAAGCTTGGCCTGCAACTCTGCGACCCTGCGCTTGTGGCGGAGCACCAAAGATAAGCGTATTTATTTAATCGATGCTCCCTGACAAGTCTCTGCCCCAGCTTGCTGAAGAGACGCTTCAGTTCAGAGTGCAAGGCAGATCCAAGCAGCCAAGCGTCCAAGCGCCGGTTTGCTGTTAGAGCGCACCGTTCCAGAGGCACTCTGGGAGAGATACCTGGGAACACGGAGGAGTGTAGGACAGGGTTGGCCACGGTCAGAGTCGAAGTATTTCAGGAGCCTCGTGTTGCATAAACCTTCGTCTCCTCTCTGACTCCTCTCCTGTTAAAGTTGGCAGTGGATGCAAGCCTTCAGGCAAGTTTGGGAAGCTGCCGACCCGATCAAGATGTTCCGACGCAGCATGCGCATGTTATCGTTCCGGCACTACAGTACTCTCCCGTCGTCGGTGCTGAGGCATCAGCCCGTGGAGCGGATTGTGGAGAAAGAAAGGTGCAAGTAACACCTTGGTGCCCTGGACATGGTTGCTCACCGAAGCTTTCCTCAGCTCATAAAATCGTGTCTTCCGTCAGCTCCGAAACCATGGCATGTGCTTGAGAAGTAGGTGATGGTAGCTGGCAAGAAGCAGAACGTCCTGGTACAACAAGCGGTCCACCGGATCAGAGAATGTCACGGATTCCTCAGCTGCGATTCACATCACAATGTGACTGTAAGAAAGCCTGCCGACGTACCCGGTGAAGCTGGAAGATTTCGTGTTCAGACAACACACGCACGCACACGCACACGCACGACACCGACACCGACACCGACACCGGACCGACACCGACACACACACACACAGAGACACACACACACACAAAAAAAAACACACACACACACATACCCGCGCAAACACCGTCGCACGCTCACTTTCACAAGCCTCCAGAGTACTTGAGCGTAAAGCTACCCGTAGAGCAGTAGCAACCTGCTCTAAGGCTGTCGAGGCCCGGCAGGCCCGGCATTCCCAAACTGCCGAGTACAGCAGTCCAGAATACGCAAGTGCCGCAAGTTGAAGGCAAAGTGCCACCTTGGTTAGCAGCTCCCGAAGTGACTCGTAGGCACCGGCGCCAGGTGCTGCGGCTGCAGAGAGGGCGATGCGAAGGAAGCTCAGGTCCTGAAGCTTGGACCAATTTCGCGGCTTGGGGCCGTCAACGTAGGGTCGACAGCTTCACATGCAGAGCTTGGTTAGCTCGGGATGATTCACTCAGCCTCGCGCTAAACCACTACATGGATAGTCACCGGCATATGCCAAGCTTCTTGCTTCACAGGAGAAGCATGCTGATCCTCGCGCACGGTTGCCTCGACACTGGGCCCTAAAGTCTATCCCCAGCGGCCAGGTGGCAAAGAGCCATTGAAGCAGATGCGACATTCCTTCCGGGATACTTTTCACTAATGCCTCTCGCAGCGAGTGGGCAATTACTCGTGATTTCTCTTGCAGAAGCACGGCAAAAACACCCTATGCTCAGAAGCCCTTTGATGATTCTGCGACTCTAGTGCTCTTTGGGGTGGCTTGCTGCACTCGGTACGGATGCTGGTTTCTGGTGGACTCAGCGCGTTTCAACTTTCAACTTCTGGCCGTGTGAATGGCTGTCCGGATCGCTTCAGCCGCGCCAGGTCGGAGGGGCGCTCCTCAGTTCCAAAAGCTTTTCCGTGTAGAGTCCCTTTTCTTGCTGAGGTGGGAGGGCACCAAGATTGGCGGATCTGTCACGCCGTCAGAGAACATTCTCGCTTTCTTGGGCCTGACCTCAAGACCTGAAAAGCAACTCCATAACTCGCATCCAGAAGGGTTCGTCTGCATGCTGAATGTGTCCAAGGGCTGCTTCATAGGCTGCTGCGAAGAGCTCCGCAAGCGAGGCCTGTGGAAATTCCATGTTTGCGAGTTCTCACGCAACATGGCAGTACACGGCTTGCAATGGATTTCTCCCGGCTCAGCCACCTTACGGCATGCTGTCAGACGTGTACGTACGACCCTGATGGACCCATTATGTCTGAATTTCCTTCAGCTTCAGTAGCCGAGCAAAAGCACTACTTAATTTGACTTTCACCTTGTCGGCTGCACTTCTCTCAGCATGAAGAATGGTCGTTGCACAGCTCTGTAGCACACAGCTCACATCTCCCCAACTGCGATGCCCTTTGAACGGCTGACGTTGCCTTGGCGGCTGCCGCAGTGGCGACAGCTGCAGCTCCTGCGAGGATGTGTGTGTGTGTGTGTCACGGCCAGGAAACTTCATGCTCTGTCTAATCCTACAAAATAGGACACTCCTCGGACGTTACCGAGCACAGGAAAGTCGGCTTGGATGCCAGGTCGTTGATTGCTGTGAGATGATTGCGAGACTGCCACATGCAACTTCACTGATTGGCACGAAGAAGATAAGGAGGAAGCTCGATAGTGCAACTATACCTTTTTTTATTTTCAAATTCAGCATATGCTGCCTGTGTGCTTATTCAGCATTCGGCTGATTTTGGGATACCTGCTGAGGGGCGTGAATAGCAATCCTTGGACTCTGGTCTTCGGGGCTAGCGGCTAGCTTTATTCCTCTGTAAGGAACGCTTTTGGCGACACAGTTCTTCTCGCCTGGATGGTACCTGTATGGATGGCTGCGACTGACTGGGCAAAGCTAAGCTGCCTAGAGAAACCAACCGTAAATGTTCTGCACTCCACATTCAGCGGCAGGTCCAGCACGCATAGTTGCAGTTTCATGTTGCGGCATAATGTGTTCTGCTTTGCTACATGAGTTCTACGACACTCTTCTGACCACAGCGAGTGTCCAACCTTGCGCCCCGGAAAGCTCGAAGATCTGCCTGATTCCAGCACGTTTGACGTGGGCAGACCCGGTCCAGACGCTGAAGCTCAACCGCTGACAGCAGCATTGTTCCCACCGCTGCTCATGATTTTATTGCCAGTTGCCCTTAAGCAGGGCATTGCTGGGCCTGTTCGAAACTTCACTTGCGGCCGAGTGTTCCAGTCTTGGTTGAAAGCGCGGATCATTTGGTGAATAATGGTTATATGTTCTGGACAATTCTGGACATAACGTTATCTCACTCTACCTGAACCGTGCCGCAGCCAATGCCAAGAGGTTGACGAACCGCAGACCCACAAAGGCTCTGGACAATGCCATCCCAATTCCAGCTCAGCAACTTCGAAGAAGCCGCGAGACGCTCGAAAACGAAGGGAGAGGTCTGGATGGGCACCGACACCGCCTTCGCCTGAATGAAGAATCGAACGACCGTCATGATGGGCCCAGCAAGAACTGTCTTTTCCTATGCTGGTGAGATCTCCGTGACATTGGGACGACGGTATGGCTGACGAAAGCCCAAAGCGTGCAAGGCGAACATTCTCGTGGACTAGAGCATGTTTCAGTTCACGCTGACTGAGTCCGCGCAGATCCCGCAGATACACCAGAAAGCCGTCCTGTAATCTGCCAGAATTTAACGAAAACTCCGGAGGCATATGTTTGCGAACGGCTCCTACGATGCAACGCAACTGCTAATTGCTGCTGCTGCTCAGTTGCTGCTCCTACTGCTGCGGCGATTGGCACTAATTCGACGAACAGATCCTTATGGTGGTTGATCAAGGTTTCTTTCCAAGACGATGTGAACACGTCCAGATTCGAGATATCTTTCAGTTTCAGTTGGACGGCCACAACCGCGGCCACAAGCAACCAGACACCAGGAACTGGAGTGTGTGACGAGCACGATTCTTCAGGCCTATGGTTTAATATGCATGCATCCCCAGTGCATCCTCACAAGGCTCTTGCGGGCTACTTGCGAGCGCGTGCTGGTCTTGTTTCCCATTCTGGGCTTCTGAGCCAAGCAACCTCGGAGCTTTCACCGGCCTTTGCTGCAAAAGCTGCACTTCCCCAGCCGCATGCTGGGCCTGCGCCAGGAGGAAAGGGCTTACAGTGTCCCGCAGGCAGCACCTTGCAGGCTAGAATGGCTAGAATCGGCTAAAGTGCTAAAGCCTGTGCAGCAGCTTCGGCAAACACACTCGCACAAACGGAGACAACGCACACAGCAAAGAAAGACAAAATAGACAGGACCAAGACACACAACGATCGCTTCTGTATGCTCCCGCCTACTTCGTCGTCTGCCAGCTTCCAGAAATGGCCGAGGGAGCTGATGCTACGCCCGCTCGAACGGCTTACACTCGCAAGCCTGGCCACAGGCCAAGGGGACTAAAGGTTGGTTGCTTTGGACAGGGTGTCGTAGTTTCGGGCAATGTGAATCGAAAGCTCCTTCGAAATCAACGTCGGTCCAGAGCTCAACCAACGCAGGGGAGCCTGGCCCAAACACAATTTACTTCCTCGCTGCGGGCGTTGAGGAATCCAATGATGGCTTCAGCCTCGGCCATCTGGACAAACAGGAGCTTCGGTTGCGCTTGGCATGCCCCGAGCCCCGGCCAACAATTAATGTCGGAGCCTCTGGTTCGGTACGCTTCTCTTTTTGTCCTTGTTGAGGCGGCTTATTGTGGCTCAGGATTTTGTCGTGCGGCAAGCTAGCAGGGAACTCCACGGTAAGCTCATGCGCAGTGACAAGTTACAGGGTAGCGTGCGACAAGTTATGGAGATGCAAAGTTGCGGCTTTGCTGTGCGCGGCATGGGGGGGGCATTACCCTCATTACACGTATTGTTTTTTCAGTAAGCTTTTGCGGAACTCCATGTCGCAGCGTCCTCCGTTTGAGCAAGCCGTTGCGACCCAGCTGCAATTTGAGTGAGACTTACTCCAAGTTGATTGAAAGTAGGCGATCTAACTTCACAACTGCTTTTTGCATTGATCCGGTAAATCGTGGCCAGCACATCCTTGTTGAAGTTCGGGCCTTCGGCTCCCATCTTAATTGAGGGTGTTACTGAACCTGAATCAGACAACAACAGTCCAATTTGAGGGCTTACAGAACCAGAAATGAATCAGCAGCAAAAAAACGAATCAAACGGCACATGGACACGCGAAAAGGACGGCAGCAGGAAAAACACAAACAGCGAAAAACAGGAGGCAAGCAGAAAAACAACAAAATGCAAAGCACAACACAGCAGTAGCCAGTATCAGCCAGAACTAAAGTGACAACAACGCGAAAGCCGACTTCGCAAGCGGTACATCTTCAGTTCCGACTGTCCCGCGTGATCAGACGACCCGAAAATCTTCCTCTTCCTGGCCTTCTTTGCTAGCTTGAGCTCGCCGGTGGAGGCGGCACGGAGGGCTTCGCCTCCCAACGGAGTTCTGCAATCGATTCCGTCGACAGCGAAAACATGCACAGGCGTACAGTCCATTCGGGGCCGCAAATCGATGCCCACGGCGATGTGCAGGTCTGAGCTATGATTTGTCTCGAAGAACACACCGCTTCATGAAGAAAACAGAGAGACAAAAACAGAGAGAGAGAGAGAGAGAGAGAGAAAAAAAAAAGAAGGAGAGAGGGCTAGAGAGAGAGAGAGAGAGAGACTTGTCAGCATGAAGTCTATGCTGAACCAGAACGACTCAATCTTGAGTTGGCTTTGTCCTCGCCTACCCGGCTGGAAGTTTTTGCCGACTCCAAATCGCTCAAGGTCCTTGCTGTTGGCACGCATGTCTCAGTCCTGCTATGCCCAGGTTACAAGCTAAGGATGTAGCGCTTTCCAGCTATTCCTGCACCTGCTGGCACGCGCTCTACATCTGCAATCACAGAAGAATTGATGAGCTTTCAACCCCAGGTCCGCAGGGTTTCGACAGCAAGTGCTGCACGCGTAGCTGCGCGCAAAGATGTCGCACCGTGCCGCTCCTGCAGCATCACTCACGCTCAAGGAGGCAGTGGTGCAAACAAATTTCCGCAAATGCTGTAAATCCCTGAAGCCGATGATCTAGAACGAGGACGCACGCAGACCGAAGGCAACCTGAATCATCAACACGGCCGTGAAATGGACTTTTGCATGTGAAAACAGCGCAAGTTTCTCCGAGGCTTTGTGCCCTTTCTACACAGAGATGCAAGGGATTCAGAGGGGTCCCTTCAGCTTGGAAAGCATCCCGGAGGACAGCAGCTGATCTCTCAAACCTCGATTGGACCCCTGGGCGTGTGAGTGAAACTTGTCATTAAATCTGCTGGTGCAAAACGAAGCTCTTGCATATATTGCATTGCATCATCCTTGCTGTGCTGGCTTGGCCATTTATGCGCACCTTAATCCCGCCAAGGGACACAAAACCTTACTGCCGCCACATTTTGCAATTTTTTTAGGGCCAGGCTAGACCTCTGCGCCAGTGCCTGTTATTTAGCTATCGTGTAGCTGCACCAACTCTAGTAGACAGAGACGGCCGGATTCACAACTGTCCATGTTGGGTTAAAGTCCCTGGCAGCTCATCGTTCGGCGTACGTTCGTTGAACGGCTGAATCCTCAAGGGCAAAACTGAACCACTCGCATTGAGCAGTTGACTTGTGCTTGAGCCGCCAGGACAGGAGGAGACCCAGGCAGAGTGACAGAAGTACCCCACGCGTTTTAACACGAGGAGGAAGTGCTTGACCACGTGCACGTGGCCAAGTCTTGACCATCCCTTGGGGACGGGAGCTGGAAAACCTGAATGCCAGTGCTCCAGAGCACTTTTGCCAAGCAGTTCTGGTTGCTCAAATGACACCCATCCGATGGACTCGAAGACATCACCAAAAACAAGTGAAAACTCAATTCATCCAGAGCAGTCAGCTCCAAACATGCACTGAGAGCACAGCCGGACACAAGGCAAGAACGGTAGATAGGTTCTTCGTTTTGCACGGCTGGGGCCTGCGCCCCAAAGCCTGGGAACTACATGCCGCCGCAAGGGCACTGCCTGGTGCTTGCAGTATCTTGTATCTGGCAGCTGCTTGTGGTGAAGCTGGACAGATTGGAACACATCAAGGGCAGCGTCCCCGGTATGGGATCTAAGCCCCTGTTTGGGGACTGTGCGGTGCTGCTGGGTTTCACGAACGCAGAATCTCCTCAGGAGATCTCGGTGATGCATGTGCGGCAGCCTATCAAACTGATTCTGAGGAAATCTGCCACGAAATATGGTGCAAAACCGGGCATGATAGACACACAGCAGACTTAGTCAGGAGGAATGACTAGTTACTACGGCACGATGGGCTCTTTGAGTAGACTATGGAGCCGACGGCTCTTGCTTGGCATCTTTCCTCGTCGTGGTTTCCTAGAGGATGGCACCGGCGTCGGCCATTCTTGCCTCCTGCCATTGTTGTGTGAATTACTCCGCAAGACCTGTTACGTATATGACCGACGCATCCTGGCCTCTGCCTCTTTTGCAGGGTTGGCCTTTAAACCGCAAAGCTACTTTTTCGCGGCTTGTTTTTCTGGGCATTCTGCGCAATCTCAGCGCCATCCTGTTTGGTCAGGACGGTCAGCAACAACTCCTGCGCAAGATATGACTAGAATGGCTGGCACACCCCCGTACACCAGCTTTAGATCGCATTAGTATTATTAGTTCTTATAGTGTAGCAAGAATCCGACAGAGTGCAGGCTCTGCACTGACCGAGGCTGAAGGCTCCGAGCAGCGCATCTCTGTCCTGCATGTCGCTCACAGCCCTGTCCAAGCTGGCGATGGAGTCACGAGTCACTTCGGCTTCGAACTCCATCTTGGCAATGTCCAAGCTTTTCCTTTCAAAGCAGGAAATCATCAGAACCACAACGGGCAGTCTGAAGGTGAGAGGATGAGTCAGTTCCTCGGAAATGCAAGGGGTCGCCAAAAGATCCTGTCTTCGCGAGTCCAGTCGGGCTCGTCGGGTTCGTGTCTCTGAGGAAAGCTAAGGAGTTTTTCGGCTACAGCAACTGCCTAGTCGACAGCTGTCGGCAGGCTGCTGGAATGCTCGACACGGCCACACTTACTATCGATCCGGCAGAGGCTGTCACGGTGCAGCTGGGCGGATGAAAGCATCTCTTGCTTTGGACTGCATTTAAGAATCCTTATCACAACTTCCTTCCCACATGTTGCGCTGCTGTCGGGTGTCATCAGGGCTCAATATCCCAGATGAGTTTGCAAGCAGGTTCTGGTTAAGTTGCAGGCAAGGAGCGCTGGGCCGTGAAGCCTCCATGTTGCGATGCAACTTTAAGCAGCTTGTAACATGCAACAACGATGATAGGAAACATATAACGGATGCTGACAAGCTAGTCTATTCAGACACCGCGAAGTCGAAATAATCCCAGTGAACAGCCCCAACAGCGCAATGGCTTTCGTTGGGCTCACATTATAGGGCACAGAAAAGCTGACAAAGCTGTAGATGGGTTGTCCATGCCCAGCATCTAATACCAGATTTGCTGAAACCAGGGCCGAACGCGTTTAGCATTTCAGCAGGCCTCGGAAAAGGCATTCGGGTTTGCGGTTAGCTCCGGGAGCTCAATTTGAGCAGTTCTTTGTTTGATGCTGATTCACGACAAATCAAAGCTGTTCGGGTGTGGAGATGGCATTGAACAGCAGCGTTGCCAAAACTCGGGCCGAATGCGTTTAGCAGGCCTTGGAAAATGCAGGTGGGCTTGGTCGGGAGCTCAATTTGAGCAGTTTATGGGTGACTGCATTTTCGGGTGTCGTAGAAACAACACTGAACACCAGATTTGCCGAAACTACGAGTAGTGCCGAACGTGTTTAGCATGCATTGGGGGCTTGGTTGGAGCTCCCGGGAACCAAGCAACCCACCTCGGAACCCGCCCTGCAACCTGCTCCGGACCTTGCCCCAAACCTTATTTCGGCCGAAGACCCAAACTTCGAAAGCTCTCGCTGCTGGGGAAAATCAGTTACGCAACTTGTCATAGAAGTGGGTGCCGAAAAGGCATGCGAATGAACACAGCAGTTTGCTGACAAAACATTGCTGTTTGTGAGATCGGCCGGTACATGGGCAAAACGATTTTGAAGGTGGTGCCTTCAAGAAAGCTGGAAAGAATGAGATAGGGGTGATGCCTTCCAAAATCCTGCAGTTGATTACCTTTACTCCCCCCCGCACTGGCCGATGGCAGGTTGAACGGGATGGCAGTCCCCTCATGAGGAGATTTCGGTTGACGATGCCTCTTGAACATAGATCTCATTGGTTCGTCACATTCGCTGATCACAGTTCTTAAGCCCGACTCGTTACATGATAGGCGATTTCGGGGCATCACGTTTCTCAACTCCCGCCCCCCCGTTTCTCACGAGGCAATGGCAATTCATTAGGCGTAACGCTTTGTGATTAAACACGCCCATCATTCGACGAGGGCCCCCTCAAGAGGTTATGGCGGTACCGCACATTTCTTAACATCGCTCTTTCACTAAGGAATAGCGGTTGATCCCGTTTCCTGCCCCCGCCTCCCCCTCCCCCGATGCTGCAGCACTTCCTTGCTTTCCATCCCTGGGTTTGCAAGGTGAGTCAGCAAAAGCCGTCGCACACAAAAGCGGCAACACAGCAATGAAGGCCAACAGCGAGAAGCAAGGAAACCATCGAAACGCAAGCAACAACGGAAAGCAACTGCAAGGTAAATTACAAGTGGCGTAAGCCGAAAGGCAGAAAGCAAAGTCAACGACGAATCCAAAAGGCAAAAATCTACCGAAATGAAACGAGCAAGTCCGCAAACAATGGGGTCTGCAGTTGCCCCTCGTAGTCTCATGCTTTGACAGCTAGCGCATGACTATATGTATGACATGCTTACCAGCGACGCGGCCGTGCAGCAACCCCCTACCTGCCCTCCATGCTCGGACTTAAAACCGCGTTCGCAAAGAATCTGACAAGAACTTGCTCGGTGCACTCCTTGAGCTATCTTGCTAAAGCTCGGCAGCCCTGCGCTACGCTATAACAAGTCAGCCTCATACAACCAGAGACGAACTCCTCCATGTCGATTGCGCCACTTCCATCTGTATCGATCACCTGGCACAGGGTACCGTTGGAGCTGCAACGGACAAGTTTGGACAGGACGGACGTGTCATGGCCCCTTGACTTCGGTTGAGCCTTGAAGAGAGTCCAAACGTCGGCTGTAGAGATGCCCATGGATTCGAAGAAACTGGAAAGCCTGAGCAACGGCAGTTCTGATGGCCGTCTTGATGTGCCTCCTGCATTCCGCTGTGACCAATGTCATCCGGGCATCCGGAGCTTCAGCATGCCTTTAATACCTTGCCTGAAGCACACTCTTGCAGCCTTTCTGGTGTAGTTCTGACTTTTGCAGCTCAGCGACTTGTCGGCACCCATTGCGTCCTGCGAAGGAACAGTCGCACGACAGGCACCAGTTGGGGAGTCCGGCAGAATCGGTTCCGTGCCCTGCCTGGAGATCCTGCATGCTGATGGTATCCGTGCGGTGGCTGTTTATTTCCTGGAACACGTGCCTGAGAACTTGGACCTGGCGGGCAATGACATGAGGAGTGCTTTCCGCCACTGCCAAGCCCAGCGAGAGGCACTCAAATTTGCAGTCCACTCCATCAGCGAGCGAAGCACGAATTGCTCGTCACAATCAAAATTCCGCGCAGCGATGCCTGCGCTGCTTGCTTACGCATCTGCTTCATCACAGCGATGTCTTTGTCTGCTGCGGCACTTTCGATTGCCTCAGCCACCGGGATGGCACTTCAATTGCTCCGGATTCTTGCGAACCTTGTGGGAGTGCTTGTTTGCAACTCCTGTAGTACTGCACAAGGTAATTAAAGACTCTATTCATGTGCTGCACGTGTTTTCGACTCGCACACTCGCACGAAGCAACAAGGGGCGAGACTAGCAACTAGTGACCCTGCTGCATCCGGCATGCATTTAGTGAAGCCAGGAGTCTGTGTTGCAAAAGACACCGGTCACGACGTTGACGACCGTGAACACCTGGTGTAATGCGCGTCTGCGACATGTACAGGAGAAGAAAGACAGTCACGGGTTCCCACTTCTCTCCTCCCGTCGCTGTTCCCTTCAGGTGCTGCACTTTCTGTGAGTTGGGCTCTGTCTGGGGTTCATGGCCCTGGGTGAGGCCTTGGCTGAACAATAAGTCGAAGTTGAGAGCGCCGACTCTCACAGCTCGGCAGACCGGGGCTGAGCCCTTACGTTCCTTCGAAAGACAGGAGTGCTTGCAAAATCACAATTCGCCCTGTCCATCTTGAACGTTTACCACTGTTTACACGGCCGAGGCGTCAGCTGTACGTACGATTTCGATGCAGCCAGGGCGAGACTGCCCTAGGCAAACTGCGCTATGCTACACAACTGAGCCTTTGCGATAACTTTTTGCTGACACGATTGTGGTAGCCGCTGTGTCGAGCCCAATTTAGACTCGGGGCAAAGAACATGAATCAACCCTGACAGCTCTTGAAACTCACTGCAAGCTCCAGCGCATGCTCGACTTGCAGATGCATCCGAGGGGCTGTTATGATGATGTAAAGATTCAGGGCCACCATTGCAATGGGAATGTCCCGAAGTGGTGTCAAGCCCTGGGTTTGCACAATTCCACCAACTCGCGCAGTGTGCGGCGGGCTTTGAGTTAGCCGCAGGCTCCGCGTGGTTACAGAATAAAGTATGCCTCGTGACAAGGCTCAGCCCTCCGCAGCCTCTACGTGCTCGTCTTGAATGCTACGAGGCATTCGACTAGGACTAAGACTAGGACTCAGGACCTGACTACAACATTCCTCGTGCAAAGTCTATCTGGGAGGAGTCAGCCAATGTACAACGTGACCGACCCAACAACCCGAACAACCTGGATTTGGTGCTATCCACGGCATGTGCAAGCACTGGCTTGGATTAACAGCTCCTTGAAGCTGCGACTGTCAGCCCTTCACTTGCCACCCTCTTTCACTCTTTGCAGGCGAAAGAACATCGTCCCAATCAATTCCACCCGAGATGGCCATGAAGAGGGTCAGCATGGCTTCCTGAGGCACGCCGAGCATTTGCCACTAACCTGTCATGATTTCGACGCTACAGTACAGGCGAGCTGGCACTGCAGTGCGCAGCATGTATAAACCGAAGTACGCCGACGTGGCATGAGACACCTCGTGACAGGTGCACATGGATCCTCTAGAAGCTGGAGCCATGCATATCCCGTGCTCAGACCTTCGAGATGGGAAGCAAGTAACTGTCACGGCTCCAACACATCCTGATGACTGCGACATCCCCGGAAGAGACAGAGTAAAATTGACCAGTTAATGTAGACCAAAAGATACCTTGGCAAAGAAGGCTGCTCAAGATATCCGCATCGCACCCGAAAACAAAGGGCGAGCGTGGACTCGTCGAGGCAAGTTGCGCCTACGCTTGACCAGTATCGGCTTGGTCCTGTGTAGAAGTAAGGAGACAACCTTGGCTGCACGGCTTGCTTGCATCTTAGTGCCCCTGAGACAACTGTTTCACATGCCGCCCTCGGAACTAAACTCTGCTCACTGCAACAGTGGAAGACACTCTCTCATGTACTTCTAAAGTTCGTCGAACGGCTCGTCACCCCGCGCTCGGCAAGCAAAGGAGGAGGCTGTTCCGTCCACAGGTGGCGGCTGGAACTCGGCTGTCAAAGCATGCGTTTTCGCAGCTGCTTGTTCGTCTTCTGTTCCGTATACTGTTTTGGCTGTGATGGTTGTGTTTTTGGTGCCTCAAGGTATCAGTATCTACTGTAAAGAAGCAATTGAAGGATGGACGTTGGGGGGAGCCTGCTGGTTCACCGATCTTTGTTTACTTGTGTTCGCATGTTCGCATGCACATTAGCAAGTGTCCGTGTGTCTATGTGTGTGTGTGTGTAAATAAATGTGAAGAGAAAAAGAGAAAGAGAAACGGAGAGAGAGAGAGAGAGCTGGAGAGTGAGTGTGAGTGAGTGCCAGTGAGTCTGTCTGTGTGTGTGGGTGTGCGTGCGTGTGCTTGCGTGTGCGTGCGTGGGGGCTTGTGTGCGTGTGGGTGTGTGGGTATGTGTGTGTGTGTGTGGGCGCGTGCGCGTTTGTGTGTGTGTGTGTGTACGTGTGGGTGTGCGTGCGTGTGCGTGTGTGTGTGTGTGGGTGTAGGTGTGTGGGCGTATGTGTGTGTGTGTGTGTGGGCGTATGTGTGTGTGTGGGTGTGTAGGTATGTGTGTGTGTGTGTGGGTGGGTGGTGTGTGCGTGTGTTTTTCCCTCTCGCATGGCTGAGGATCTATGCCCACTAGCGAGGTTGAGAAAGTGCCAATACTACAACTGTACTAGACGGGACGACCGAGTTCAGATCATGCTCCAGCTGTGTACACAAAGACTCAGATATCCCGTCATCGGGCAATGTTGACTGCAGTGATCCCTACATACACAGCAATACCAACCGTAAAGGGGTGACCACTGTCAGGCAACACAACCATGGCTACAAAGAGCCAACACAAAGACCTGTACCAGTGCTACACTAGGACCGGGGCAAAATGCCACTCATCGCAACGGCGAGATGCACCCAATTAAACAAATTACAAAGGACAAATTACAAATTCAGCATGCCAAGTAATTACGAATTAACTTCCAGCAGGCAAGTTTACGTACTATTCTACGGCTTCACAGCGCGGGGTCAATTGGACTCAGAACATGACGAAGGCCACACAGTGGGGCGTCAAGCGCGCAGTATCAAAAGAAAGGCCGAAAACCAAAATGTCACGGACACAGGCGTCTGACAGGATGAAGCACGTGTGACATCCCAAAATCCGAGCTGGACCACGGCTCAAGCTGTTGGCACCCCAGACCGGGGTGCACCATATGAGACCATCATATGGCATACCCCTGCCAGAGCGCTCCCGTTGTCTTGAAAGATGGGCATCGACAATACACAACAATCCGGTCCACACACTGCCGAAAGGTCAACCCGCCAAACAAGGCATCTTACACACCTTATCGCAGGCCTTTGCGCAAGCAGATGATACTCAACCAGGGCATGCCATACTGCACTGCCGCACGGTATACCACGGGACATCTCTGCCAATGATGAAAAAGCTTCCCTTTGTTGTGTCAGTCATGATACTGCCATCTCTTCTGACGTGCAGGATATCTCTGCCAAGCATTGAAAAGCTTCCCTTTGCTGTGCCAGTCATGATACTGCTGTCTCATCTGACGGGCAATCCCCAGGAAATCACATGTTGGCACGCCTGCAACAAAACACCAGGATCAGCAAGCCCGATGCCCTACCACAAGCTGTGCTTCGTCAGTCGGAAGAAGACTGCAGCAAGTGATCAGAGGCGCAGGCCATGGCGATCACTAGTTTCTCCCAAGTTCAGATCCCTGAAACAAGTCAAACCTCTAGCCGCGAGGAGTGCACAAGAATAAGAACAGGATGTCACTATGTGTCAGACCTTAGTCTGATGTTCAATCTTTTCCCAGCTGTGGGAGTGGCGGTGTGGCGGTGAGCAGGGTGGTCGCAACGCATCGTGTCCAGGTGGCGGAGTGGCCCAATTGTTTGTTTGGTTTTGGGTTTTTTGCGGACCAAGGCACCTGAGCAGCTGAGCGACACACCGAAATCCCTCGACGCCAAAGCCAAAGTCTTCAAAGGTCAACATGAAAAGATCCCCAAAGTGGTCACAACGTCCTGCCACGAATTCCAAATGCAAAGCAAAAGCCCAAAGCCCAAAGTCATGGACCCAAATTCCGAATTCCGAATTAGAAAAAGAAGCAAGGTGTCAGAGATGCAAGGCCTGAGGCAGGACGTTTGGACAACAAGGTTCAACTTACAAGTCTTAGACCGTGACCGTCTTTGTGGGGAAATAATCCTGAATGTGCTTCTGGATGCCCTTGTGAGGGTTGAAACTATTCTGCAAGCAGAGGGTCCCAATGGGGGTGAAGGCAACCAAAACAACCCTCTTTGATTCAAGCCACGGTTGGGTGGCATGTAGAATGGTACGAGCTGGGAAAACAAAGGGCTTTGAAATGTCTTGCACACGGCCCTTAACAGCCCTCCCTTGATGAAACATAGTAATGCTACCCGCGGGATCCGAAACCCAGAGCGCTCCACCAGATCGATGTGTTGTCAGAGACAGGACCATGTTGTTATCTATGTTGCGTGTATCCCTGTGTGGACCCCGAAGCCCGTTCTGACGGAAGCAGACACAACTGTACTTAAAGCCAGGGCATTGTTGTTCAATGAAGGCCTGGAGGAGCTCAAAGGTATGGGGGAGGTTCATGGTTGCCACTGACAGACTTTTAGTATTACGGGGGTTCGCTCCAAACACCGTCATGGAAGCCCCTTCTGTTTCTTTGTCCCGATGCTTGAACTTAGATGGCAACACGTCCCAAACTTCCAGAATGTCAGATTTCTGAATTACCTCGCCCCTGTTGTGTTTGCATAGGATGCAATAGGAGAGTGTCTCAATCGGGGCAACTTTGAAATCCACTCCAAGAGCCTTTGCAAGGGGGCCCAATGCATCCCTGTCAAGTCCAAGTTCCTCCAAAAACTCAACTTCACTATCTTCATTGGGATGAACCCCCAGAAACTCAACATCCGAGTCGGCGTCTACTGAAGTGGAGGGTCCCGAGGCTGTGTGTTCAGTATCACAGGTTACAGCTGCATCCTGGGCCTCTGTGTCTAGAGCCAAAACAGGGGAGTGAGGGGGCTCAAGGCTCAGGGCTTCGGGAGATGCATCCGGGAGAGGCTGTAAGTTCAGTTCTGCGCTACTGCTGGACGGGCTGGCAGGTGTGTCGGCAAGCTGGTCCCTACCGCGTTTCATGGTGCCGTCGCTTGAGCTGAAACTGAACACCAAGAGATGTCATGTCTTCCGGATTCAGAAGTGAGGCGTTGGCATCGAACACTAAACACGTCACCGAGCTTCCAGTGGCACAGAGCTGCAGATCTGCGCTAATGTCGCCACTACTGTTCGCACATGGTGGAGAGGTTGGGCTTGCAGAGCAGCATGACGCGCTAATGCAAGACGAGGCCACACGTGTCACTATTTCGACGCTCGGAAGATTGAGCTGGTCTCTGTTGTGATCGCTACAATTGGAACCCTCAAGACCACCACGGCCATTCCGTGCAGGCAATGTACATTTGATACAGAGCCGTGGGCTATTCCACAGCAGTTGAATTACAGCATCGGCAAAGCATGTCAATTCCTAATTACAAATTAAAATGCAAATCAATTCCCAATTCCGGTCATGCATGCAAGCTTGCGAAGGAATTATGAATTAAGGGTTCCGAAATGCAGCTATTCTGTGCGAGAAAGATACGACTTGGGTGCATGTAACCAAGCCAAAATAGTCTTCAGTGGGACTGCGGGCTCAATTACAAGACGGAAGAGCAACAAAGATTACAAAGTTGTCAAGGCCCTATCAACGCAAAACCGCCCTCAGCAGATCCCCACTGGACATCGACTGGCTAGGGATCGGCGTGATGAGGAAATTGTTCGAGCGATCGGCATTGCCACCCAAGAGGAGCTGGGGTTGGGGCGCTGGCTGAGTCATCGCTCCAACATGTTCCGACAGTCGTAACTGTATGCCACCTTGCGGCTGCTGCATGGCACCATCCAGCTGCACCGGGATGACTGTAGGGCCTTGCGTTGGCGGTGCACTCATTCCCATAGGCCCCAGGGTCGTCGGCGGTGTCGTCGGGTGACTGGGCGCACTGTTGGAGGAGCTGGCTGCGGCTTCTGCCGGCGGCTTGTCAGTCGACGGCGGTTTGCGCTGCGGCAGCTTGGGCAGCCGACCCAATATCTCTTGAATCGCCGGCAGCTCACTCATCACCTGCTCGAAGTGTGCCCTCAAAGTTGCTTCCGTCTCGTTCTGCTGGTCCACAATGCCTGTCACCATACTTTCCAGACGAATCAACCTGTCCTCGCAGTTCTGGACTGCTTCACTTGAGGCAGACAGAGTGTCCTGGGCAGTCTTGGAAGCATCTCTGCCCGCGCAGACCATATCGTTCAACGTTTTCAACTGTGGAACAACTGGTCCAAGCCCTCTCAAAAGGCTCGTTACATCGGCCAGGAGCTTACTCGTCCAGCCGTGTCCCTCCTTGTTCTGGGCCATGACTTTGTCCCTATGCTGATCAACGATAACGCGAAGCACCGTGGTTTTTTCAACCAGATCATCAAGCTTCTTGTTGACAGACCCCTGAGTGCGGTCGTGCTCCGCCGCAATGTCCTTCTTGGTAACCAAATCTCCATTGATTTGCAACAGAAGACCATGCGACTCCGTTGCTTTCGCGGCAATGGTCGTGAGCTTGCAGAAGTCGCCCATGTGAGTATTAATGGCCTTGTGGATGGACGAAACCTCGGAGCTCAGGGCTTGTAGAGCTGACAGCTTTGTAGTCACATCAAGGAGTTGCTTCAGCACTTGCTTGATGTCACCTCCGAAGTCCGCGCCGTCAGAGGAGAGACTAGCAGCGTGAC